TCTTTCCCTGCTCCTTCCTTTCCCTTCTCCTCATCTTCCAAAAGAAGGGAGATGATGAATGGCTCAGTCCCGCTGATGTGGATGTGCCCTGTCCTGATGCTGGCTACTGTTCAGAGCCCTTAGATGCTGTGTGAGTGTGAGTCTGACTTACAACCTGTGATTAAGGTGATCAGAGAGCAAAGAGCTGTTGTTGGTGGAGTGGTATAAAAAAGTCAGGTTAACTAATGAACCTGGGCTGATAGCTGTGGGTGATTAACAAGGATCACATTCTGTGTTTGGCTTTAAGACTTTCTGATCTAGCTGTTGAAGGTAAGATTGCATGCTAATGTGAAAGTGAAGCAGTAAAATTATTCTGCTGCTGCCAGAAATAATCATGGGTTAGTAGTGCTCTGTTTTCATTGGTATAACGAATCACCATTAGTGACTAGATCTTCTGCTGGTGTAAATCATGACTTACACTGAAGAAGTCATTACAGTGACACACATTTTTTAACCAAAAAAGTGATTAATCATGTTAAAAAATAGAGTGTGGAGTAGTAATTTTTCATAACTTGGTATTGTAACTTGGTTGAGACTAAGATGAAGCACTTTTTTCTAAGAGTTGTCTTAGTCAAATATATAGTAAGGCTTTTTGTGGGGATACTTGGGAGCAATCTGGTGGCTTCAGCAATGCTAACTACATGGTCTCGTGAGCTGTTTTCACTTTAAAGTCTGCACGTAGTTGGTTAATACAGTGAGGCCAGAATCTAATCCTGTTTATCATTAAAAGTTACTGTTTATTTGCAATGTCATAACTTTTTTCTTTTATTTTTTTACAGGAAGACCATTGGAGTTTTCTGTTGTGGACCAAACAAAATCTCTAAGATACTTCATAAACTGAGCAACAGCAGCAACTCGTATGGGACAAGGTTTGAGTATAATAAGGAATCCTTCAGCTGAAAGCCTGTTGGACTAGCAAGACTCTCTAGAAGATGAAAGTGCAATTTTTTGTTTGTACAACTTAAAAGTTCAGCTGTGGTTTAAACAGACAGAAATGTACCAAAGAATAGCACAGATTTTCTTATTTATGATTATTTAAGACTTTGGAAAATGGTGGATGCAGCAGTATACCAACAAATAGTAAGTGCTTATGCTCAAACCCAAATGTGCTCATGCAATATTTGTGGTGATTCTTTGGAGTTGTTTCTGTTAATTAAAAACTACAGAAGCTGGGGAGAGACACAATTGCTTTAAAAGCTGATGAAGGAAGGATCTGTGGAATGTTTGAACTTCTTCCACTTCAGTCCTCTGAAGACGGATCAGTAAACCAAACCCCAGGTTAATCCAAATGACAAAACATAGTGTGTTACAAAGACTATTGCTTTTGTTGGTATACAAATCTCACGGCTTTGGGGTGGCAACATGCCATATTAAAGATTTTATACATTGCAGAATAGGGATTCTGTATTTAAAATATAGAGTGTTACTCTCCTAGTCTGTTGCTGTAGTGTATGTGAATACTCCGACCCTGAATTGAAGAGAAGGTGGAGTATGGGAAATGATGTAGGTTAACCTATGCAAAAGCGGCACAAGTGTGTAGCACCTGTGGGCAGACTTCACCGTGATGTAAATCACAGCCTTTTGGCAAGCAAACAGCTGTACATGGAGAGCTCTGTATCTTGCATCAATTCAGCGTTCAGTGAGTTTGCAAAATAGGTGTGATTTATGCAGCCAGAAAGATGGAGCAAGAAAAGAGATTAACAGGAGCAGACAGGATATGATGTTTTATTATACCGGGCGTTCAATGTGGAAGTTGCACTCGCTCTGCTCTCACATGCCCAGAATGTCAAATACTTTCAGCATTCAGATGCTCTTACTGATTATTTTACAACAAAGCAGGTTGAAATCCAATTTTAGAGGTCCCAGAGAATGTTTGATTGACTGATCCTTTGGGTACCTCCTCTGGAGTCACACTTGTTTGCACTAATGTCACTGCAAGCAGGATCAGGCCAGGTCTACATCAAAGTAAGAATGAAGCCCTCTGGGGGAGATAGAAATCTTGCAGGAGATGCAGTAAGGTTTCAGTATGTTCTGAAGGGTAGGATCTGAAACATCCAAATTTAAGCTCTCCTTCCCATCTCCTTCCCATGCTGTTTCCCACTCTACTGATAGTTGCCATGGAAGGGCTACAGGTTGAAACAGGCACTTTATATCTTTTGGTTCTGAGGAGCAACTTATTTTTCCTCTGTCCAATAGCTGACCCAACTTCCTTTATTTCTTCTTTACCCCCTTTTCCTTATTTTGTTGAGAAGAAGGCATTTAAGCAGGGGCCAGACACTAAAGCTGGCATAAATAGGCATCATTCTAGTGCATCTTAATACAACAGCATCACTTTACACATGCAGAAAACCTGACCCTTAACGTCTAGGAAAAGCTTGGGAGCAATAGTCTGTAGTGCTTGTAGCACACAGAGACATAAGATGGCTCAGCATCTCTCTTGCCTGTGGTTCACCTGTATTTAGCACAGTGCATTTGATTTGGTTTACATCTTTCCAATGAAGACCTTTTTATATATTAGTAGGAAAGACACTAATTTTCAGCTCACAGCACAAACCCTGTACAGGGATCTGCAAGTGTCAGCATCAGTGTTCAGAGGGAAGCGTTTTTCTAGTAGGTGGTGTATAGGTGTGTTGTATGTGTAAGTAGTGAAAATGAGTTTGGTCTTTGGCTTGGCAGCTCCTGCTCAGGAGTTGCCCACAGTGAAGGTGCAGCAGTGAAACCACATTGGGGATGTGTTTCTCAGTGTCTGGACTTTGTACAAGCTTTTAGCTCTGGCTTTGCCCTATTTGAGATTCAGGGTGGAAGGAGAGAGCCAGAGATGGACCTATTTCTACTGATGAGAATTCTCAAAGTAGCCTAGAGGAGAAAAGCCGAATCAGGATTGCAGTGTGAGATGGGAGCCTACATTGCAGCTACTGGTTTTAAATGTTTTTTTGAGGCTGGAAGGATCATAATTTTCCCATTGGATCTTGTTCATCCATCACTGTAAAACTGGAGGTACTCAAGAAAGGATTAGATCCTTTATAATCATTAAGATTTATTTCTAATACTTCCTGCATGAGTTTTATTATAAACATAAACATGATGGCAAAATGCATAGATATTGGATATTGCTGATATTGCAGGCTTTTTTATTCACTGGCAATTAGCTTAAGGCATGATTGAAATCATGACTGCATCTATTAACCACAACCAGATAATGATCTTTCTCTTCTCGTTTTAGGATCTGGTATCTAATGTTTTTTAAATACAGTTTAGAGTCATCTAATCAAGATGCTGTTTGTGGTTTCCCATCTCCTAGATATCGGTTCCATTACCATATAATAAGCAGCTAGTTTTGTAGTTAGCTCTGTGCTAAAACAGATCGTTTTTCCTGGCTCAGCTCCTGTATAGGTAGCACTTTAAAATAGTAATACCAGTACTATGCTCTTGTTCTGCACTGTAGCAGGAGCTGACACTGTGTGTAGGCATGTTAAATGCCTGTTGTTACATTAGGCAGTGCTGTCAGAGTAAGATATAAGCAGAGGCAAGATCCCCTTTTCCTGCTTTTGTCCTTTAGTGGCCTCAGCCCTGACCCACGCGTAAAACAGGCAAGGGACTGTCAGCCTCTCTGGAGTGTTGTGAGGCTTAATTAACATCTTGGGATCACTTTAGTGCATGCACAGTGAAAAGATCTAATTGGTTTGCAACTGTATTTGTGTTTTATTTTGTGCAAACCTTTCTACTGCTGATGCTAGTGATTGCTAGACCAGGTGAGGGTGAGTTGGGGGAAAGCTAAAACCTCCAGTTGCTTTTTACCTTTTCCTCTAGCCAGGTTAGTGACTGTGACTTGGCTGCAGGAGGGGCAGATGTTACTATAAACACGGTCTTTCTATAGGCTGCATTGTCCTTGCTGCTTCTGAGCATGCCTCCAGGTTGCAAAACTGAGCTGAGCCCTCTTTTATACTCCATAGCTTTTTCATGTGTAAGCCAAATGTTCGTGAAAATATAACTCAGTGCCAGACAAGTAAGGGAAGGCTGGCAGCACTTAATTCCACATTTACAGATCAACTGGATTTACATAATTGAACATCTCTTTATGCTTTACACTGAGTCCTGTAAGTGAGTCTGTCATAAGTGTCCTGCTGGCAGGGGAAGGATCTCACTATGTTCTGCCACTTCTCACTCAGTCTGCCACAAAACTGCAGTCCCCTGAGTGTTTGCTCAGTGGGGAACTTTGTGTTTTATTCATCATGAATGTTTCAGGACTTTTCTTTAAACCATGATGGAAACCAAGCCCTTTCCCTGCAATGGGAATCCAGCCCTTGTACAGCAGTGACCTTCGCTTCTGAAGTCTGAAGGACTTCATCCCACCCATCCTACCCCACTTCAGCCCATCCCACCATGATGATTATTCCAGCCCTGAGTTTGAAGTAACACTTTGCTATTTCAGTGTATCATACTAATAGCATGTGAGTTCTTCCTTTGTCTTTTATCTGCTCTTCTAGGATCATGAGAGATCACAGCACACAACCTTGAGCCTGGGCTGGGGAGAAGACACCAGTGCATACCACAGACTCCTAGCTGATGACTGCACTGTTTAGTGTAGGAAGTTTAAGCCAAATCCATTTTTCTGAAAAATTATGATTGTTTTGCCACAACAGAGAACAGTGGCTGTAAAGGGAAAAGAGATAAACCCTCTCTGTGTTTGAAGACACCTGCCCACACTAGCCTGATGTGAAGATGTATATGAAAGCACTGTGCACCCACTGCATGCTGGTGGTGGGTTTTCTCCCTCAGCACTGAATCCCCATCGTTCCCTTTGGTTCCAGATCTTCATCTGTCTTGTTAGCTGATGTACCCTGCAGGTGAAAGAAGTACTACATATGTTTGCATCCATACACTGTATGGTATAAGCACAGAGCAACCTGTGAGCACACTTTGCAGCCAGTGCAGGCAGGCAAGTGCACAGTCATCCCTTTGCTTCTAATGCTTCTAAAACATAGGTGAGAAAGAGATTTGGAGCTGGCTGAGAAGGGGCAGATAATACAAGTGGCAGACCAGCTGTGTTGGGAACAGCAGTTCAGCTATAACAGAACAGAGAAGTAATGTTTTGGCAAGAGATTTGCTTTTGGAACAGCAGCCTAAGAGAAAAGCCTCTTCTCAGCACTAACACATCAGGTTATAGTCTCAAACTGCACAACGTTGCTTGGAGAAGCAGGCAGGAGGCTAACTAGTCATTGCCTGTAGCGGTTCAAGTCCCTTAAGTCAGAGAAGAGACATAGTTATTAAAATGCAGGGTTTACTTGTTTGAAGAATGAAAGGCTTCTAGGGAGATTAATTTTCACTTCAGCCTGGCAGTCATTTCATAAACATGCCAGTTAAGACAAGGTGGATCTGTTCTTCTCTGGATTATGTATCTGATTTGTCTGCAGATTTCCACCCCTCACAAATAAAAACAGTTTAAATTGTTTTAACAAAGAGGATTTAACAACAAGGTTTAATCAAAATGCTACTTGTGCCTGTGCTGAACTGAGCTTTTCTGCAATGAACGTACATTTTTCAGTATATATATAATACAGCTGATGACTCAACTGTGAATGGTGATCTGGGGCTTGCAGCATCTCTGCTGATGGTGTATTTCATTAAGGCCACTATAGTGATGCACTGGTGAAATGCATGGAAATGAAATGAGAATCTTCATCCCCATAAAAGACTTGATATTTTAGTGCCTGTAATAAGCATAGTAAATCCCAGAAACTCTGGAATTTCCTCTGTAGATACAGTAGAGTAATTAGCCAGCCTTTTTTAGGGTTGAACCCTGAGTCCTCTGCTGCAGTGAAATGTGTAACAAATGCTCTTATGCAAAGATTTTGATCAACTAATGCTGCTCCTTAAAGGGCTGGATGAGTATTTGTGAAGGTTCAGTATCCTGCTAGTTGCATCACCCATGTTGTAAGAGGGATGAGATCAGAGAAAGGTGAAGAAAGCCACCCATCCTAATTGTAGATTGCCTCTTAACACAGGACTTGGATTTCTGAAGATGTCAGACCTTGCAAAAAGTACTTACATGCTGTCTGCTTCTTCCTGGCAAAGTCTGTTCATCCCACAGCCCAAAATCTGCACCTTCTTCCTCATGATCTGTACAGTTACACCAGAAAGGGGGAAGCCAGGAGTAGCTCCTGAAGCTTCAGGTAAACTGCTGTCAACAGAGGAGCGAACCAAGGAGGGCAGGAGAGAATGATGAATGCCAGAAACGAATAGAATGAAATATTTTGAACCTGGGAGCAAAGGGGAAGGAGGGAGACGTTCTTGGCCTCTCAACTGTAGAAATTAAAAGCAAACCCTTTTGTCTAGGTGCAGATACAAGTCTCCCTGGGGTTT